AAGGATTCTGAAGCTTCGTCTGACATACTTTGGGCATGTTGCAAGGAGGGACTGGCCCTTGGAGAGGGACATCATGTTTGGCAGAATGGAGGGGCGGCGCAGGAGAGGAAGACCATTGATGAGATGGATCGATTCTGTGACTGGAGCGGTGGGAATAAGTGCGTTTGAGATGGCTAGGTTAACACACGATAGAACAGCGTTTAGAGCTCTTGTACATAGGGTTGCTATGAGTCGCAAATGACTCGATGGCACATAACAACAACTCTTTCAACACCACAATTCAAAGGCACAGATTCTTCTGTCATCCTTGCACTGTCCAGCTTTCAGATGCACAGGTAGGAACTGAAAATATGATGGCTTGGGTCAGGCACACCTTAGTCTTTAAACTGACATTGTTGCTCTTTAGCACTTTGAAGAGGGACAAGACAGCCGATTTCCCCAATCCAACACAACTTGATGGCTTGACTATGGTTACCAAGTGTTGACTGTGGATCCGAGTAAAATGAAATCGTTAACAATTTTAATCTTTTCCTCCTCTATCATGATGTTGCCTATTGGCCCAGTGGTGAGGATTTTTGTTTTCTTGATGTGGATCTGTAACCCTCACCGAAGGCTCTTGTTTTTCATCTTCAGCAATGAGTGCTTCTGATCTTGACTTTCTGCAAGCAAGGTTGTGTCAAGCCTGTACTAGGGATTCTTAAAAAGCAGGAGGGCGGCAAGCGTGCATCAGTATGTCGATCATGTTCCGTGTTCTCGTAAGCTATGGCTGGACGTGCAGCAGTACGGCGTCGTGCAAAAGCCAGGAGACAACTAGGCTCTGACGGTTCATCATCCCCAGGCCTCCCAGGGGGTGAGCTGCGGATCTCAGAGAAGCAACGGGGAGAAAGTCAAGGTCCTGTGACTCTCCTCACCACCAAGCAGCCATAGCTGCTCCTGGAAAGAACATCAGGGCGCTGCTCGCAGCCTGGAGCCTGACAGCAGGATTTCCTTCTCTCCAAGCTCTGGGAATCCTCGGTCCACCGCACTCAGCTGACTCAGGAGACATTTGCTAAGGGTCACCGCCATCACCTGTAAAACACACTTACAGGGACTTCAGCCGTTCTTCCCAGGACAGTGGAAGGGAAGGGAAATTGAACTGCCACCCTTTAGCACAGCAAAGATGGGAAAAGGAAGGCTTGTCTTCAAGGGTCAAGGTCAGGTCCACAGGAATTGACCTCAGAGGCAGCAAACGGGTGGCGGCAATAAAAGGCTGAGTCAGAGGGAGCTCTGGTGGCCTAGCAGCAAGAAGTTGCACTGAAATCCCAGAGGTATGTGGTTCAAATCCACCAGATGCTCTGCTGGAGAAAGAGGGACAATCTCCTCCTGTACCAGTCAGATCCAATTTGATGGTACACACATGAAGAATAATAAAATTTCTTCAAAAAACCAAACCTGAGTCAGAGCCACTGCAAACGCTCCTAAGGTGTTTCCCCCGCATCTTACCTTGTTCTCCTTAGCTTTCAAACGCAGGGACTTGAACTCTGCAAGCCGACCCTGGCATTGGCCATCGCCCTCTCGGAGAAAAGAATGATCACCATGAGGGAATCGCTTCAGGTCCTAAACAGCCTGTCCTACCTCTCTCCACCACTCCAGTGGGTGCCGGGGAAGACAGGGCAGCTGTGAAGAGCAGGCCACATAAGGGTGTCGTCCACGGGCAGCAGGAACCTTTGGGGGCCAGGTGCCCTATAGGCAATTCAGTTCCCAGCCCTGAGCTGGGAATGTCTTACATAAACAGAATCCAGACAGTGTGCGACTTCTTCAGACTACGTGGACTTCCTTCGAGTGCAACCAGGAAAAAATTCTCTCTGCTGCTTTCCCCAGGGGCATAAGCCGCTACAGGTATCTTACAAAAAGGCAAGCTCAGTTATCTCTACCAGTCACGGTGCGACCAAGGGTCCATCTCAGAAAGAAGGGAGGTCGAGATGTCCCCTCACATGGGGCTGGTCAAAACCACACCGGTGAGAAGCAGCAAGGTTCTACCAACCTTACAGTGCCTCCTCCAGCCAGAAGCCAGGAGCAGGAAGGATTCAGAGGACAGCACCCCCTTCCTCACAAACGAGGGGCAGCCCCCCAACAGCAGGCTCCTCTTGGGGGCATTGGATCATTGTCAGAGCCCAGCTGCCCTCGAAGCCAAGCCCTGGACGTCCAGTGGGGAAGAGGATCAAGGAGAACAAGCGAGGCCCCAGACAACAAGCCTGCCTGTGAGTCACTTGGATCCCTGGTTGACTTTGGGGCGTTTCCAGAACATTGTCTACCTTGCAATTCGGCACAGCTCCTAAAAGCAAGAGTCTGGTCCAAAAGCAAGTTAAGATGCTGATAATAGTTCCCTTCCCTTCAGCCCTGAGCCCCCATAACTTCCTCTAACACTCCATGTTCTCAAGGCTCGATTGAGAAATAACTGCCAACCTAAGACCTCCTTTCACCGCTCGAAAGCAAAGCCATTGTGATCCTGACACATCAACCAGATAAATCCAACCTAATGGGAGCGTTCGGCAGCCAAGGACAAGCTGCCAAGAAGCAAAGTATTAGGTTGGCAGAGGTTAAATTACTTAATGGCTCCCACTGCCAACATGAAGTCAGGAACTGCTGCGTGCTGGGGAGAGAATTAGGAATTAAGGATTAAGAGGCTGGAGCTGAAGGTATGGCATTATCCAAAGTGGAAAACCTTTGCGGTTCTTACTTCTCTTTGAAGACAAGCTGAGCCATAAACACCTCTTCCTGGAAGATGTGTCAGGCTGGTTCAGCTCTGAATCAATGAGGTATAACATGCACCAAGATTTTCATAAACACCCACCACGTACACCTGAAAACCTGGCAGGTTCCTCCCTCTCCAAACTCCAAAGGCCCCTAACTAATTCATTGTCAGTTGTGTTTCTAGAAGGCATTGTGATTCATTTGAAACACACACACACACACACATCCATTGCTTACACGGACTGGGTGCCTTGTGTCCTAATAAACCTTTCCAAGGTCTAAAAATCTCCATTCCATTTCCACTCTCATATTGACCATGAAGCCCCGAAAGCCATGTTTACTCGATCGGGTCAACTTACAAGTTGTTAGTGGACCACAACTTCTATCAGCCCTTTGAATGGCAGATCTGAGTCCTGACCTACTTGCACCATCATCCCCTTCCGGGAGATGCTCAGGCCCAAAGTTACAGTCCCTGTGTCCTTCCATCTTGTCGAGGGGTTTTCCCAGCATGGCTTTTCCCCAGGACCGGCCTCTCCCTCCAAAAAAATTGCCCAAAGCATGAGATACAGTTTCACCACTCTTGCCTCCAAGGCATTCCCTGGTTGCACTTTCTCCAGGACAGATGTGTTACACAGCAAGTGCTTATTCCCAAAAGTTTAGTCCTTCCAAAGGTAAAGTTAACATCCCTCACATAGGGTAAGAAATGTTGTACTATGATCATCAGGGGGCCTGGAAAAACAGAACACTCTTGAAAGGAATAAAAAACCCGAACTGTCCAATCTCCCGCAGTGCCTAAAGCACCCTGCCCAATCCTATTAACTAGGTCACAGTCATAATCCACTAATTAGCTAGGCCATAAGTCCACTCCTGTGCAGCGTAGAGAAAATGAAGGAACAGCCATTCAGCTTCTATCGAGAATATTTTTATTATACAGATATCATATACACAATAATTAATTCTCTTGCGAACATTTACAGTCCGAGTCTAGTTCCAAACCTCCCATTCACCCACACACACCATCCCACACACTCACAGCAAAGAGACAAAAGCCACGGCTTCGTGAACCAATAGCTACAACTCAAAAGAATCTTCCGTGTCAAGATCAGAACCCTCTGGACCCTCTTAATACCCTGTGTACATGTGAATAAAATCTTCTAGAGATGTGTTAAGGATTACCCCACCACCTTTTAAAAATGGATATTTTAAAATCAACTCCCATTTCTCAAAAAAAAAAAAAATAAATCATAGGAAGTTCACCAGTATATACAGACCCCATTAAATTACGCATAAATAAAATCTGTACAGCCAACATCGTTTCTTAACATACAGAGTCACCACGGGGACTTGGGAAAAACAGGCAGCAAACAAAATGCCTCAAGGTTCAGCTAAAAACCAAGCTTGGAAATAAATATGCACATAAAGCTTCAGTACCTCAAGAGTGTGTCCTTTCAAAGCCTTCTGTTTGAAGTTAATGTTATCAGTCTTACAGAGAGTAAAATGGGGGAAATTCTTCAGCAGGCTAGTTCTACAAGTTTCGGAAAAACCCAAAGGCTGTAGGAAAAGTCACAAGTGTGTCAAAGACCACTTAGTAAGCTGTACGAGCCCCCGCGTTTCTCAGAGGCAGCAAACGGCATCGAAGAACACTGGCTCATCTTTCTCTCACTGGGACGCTGGTGGATTTGAACTGCATACCTTCAGGTTGGCAGTGCAGCTCCTTACCAGTGAGCCCCCAAAACTCCTGCTTATTAAACTAGTTACTAAGAAAGCAATCTTGGCCTTTTTAGCTTGAGGTTTTGCTATCTGCAGAAATAAAACACTTTCAAGATAGATATTCCCAAAACCTGCCATTGCCTTAAAATTTTAAAAAAGAAAATAAAAAAGTCACTGTTGATTTAAAACATATCAGTTTGACACTTCAACAGCTCTGCGTGTGGTTCTTGTTGGCCAAGGGACTTTATTAGTGAAAACTGTAGCACCACTTTCAGAGAACGGAAGGCTTCCAAAAACCATACAAAGCTGAGCAGACGCAAGGAAGGACACTCAGCCACTTTCAGCTAACTCGTCCACGTGTTAGCCGACTTCAGCGCCAATCCGGTGGGCATGTTTTAAAAAACAGAGCCAAAACAAAATAAAAAACCACCACTGCCATTCCAGAAACCCACAGTAAGTAGGTCATGAGCTCTGAGCCCCGGGGCAAGAGGGGTGGGACCCCATGGATGTATATTGCCATGTCTCTTCCAACTCTTGGTCCCTGGGAATGTCCTGTTTTATTTCCGGTGCTTCTCCATTTTCTCCAGGGTCTTGTTGGAGTCAGGGGGGCTCTGTTCTCCAGAGTTCAGGTATGATTTCTCTATTAGGATCAAAGCTTCCTTGATATAGTTCTGGGCAGCGGACATGGCGGCACAGATGGCCTGGCTCCCGAATCCATGGGTAATGAGGCTGAAATGCGACAGGCAGTTCTGTATGTTTGTCTCCAAGACTGGGGTGGGCCGACTGTTGCCGTTGGGTGTTCGGTCCTGATTGAGGAGGTCCGTGAATTCCTTACACACTTGCCTGTGAAGATCATCAAAAGACAGGTGAGGGCCCGGGGCTGGGGAGGGGGACGACTTCTTTCTGGTGAAGGATACAGAGGACAAGGTAGCCCCAAAATAACACCTGTGAACCAGCTGAGACTTCTGGACTGAACAAGAAAAGGGGACAGAAATCTAAGAGTAGTAAATTCCAAGGAGACCTGGAGGTGTAAGGGTTAAAAGTACTTGGCTGCTAATTAAAAGGTTGGTGGTTCAAAACCATCCAGCACCTGTGCAGGAGGACAAGTCTGACTATCTGCTCCCGTAAAGGTGATGGCTGAAAAAAAATCCCGTGGCGGGGGAGGGGGCGTGTCACTATGAGCAACACCTAACACCAACTTAGAAATGTCAAGGTACCATTATGGGGTCCATTGGGCAAAACCTAAGAGCGTCTGGGCAGCGTTAAAGCAACCAAGAGTGACTTGGGCTCTTTATGGCTAGGTGCTCCACTGAACTCTTTTCCAGGATATCTCATTTAATCCTCACAATAAGAGAAAGACAACAGGATTAACCCCAGTCAGCTGAACAAAGTACCAGGACTAAAATACAGGGGTGGGGTGGGAGTCCCAGATTTGATCCCTAGCAATTGCATTCCAGAAGCTCGGAGAACAAGGCACAAATTGGTTCCAAACTATGAAATGTGCCCCCAAGAACTAGCTGGAGTGACCTGATATCCTCCTGGTCCCCCCCCCAAGCGTCTCCCTTAATGCTTGTTTGCAAGGTGCCCCTAATGCATCTAGTGCTGCTTTCCCAGGCTGCACTCTGGAGCAGTTTAATTAGCCCACAAGCCCCCTATCAACGCACCTTGATTTACATGTAAAAAACAAAGTCTTGTTATCAGGAAACAGAAGGCATTCATTGCATGCTTCACTTTCCAGTGTAACAAAACAAATGGCTTTCAACACATTTTTCCAAGATATGCAAATACAATAATGAAAGGGTAAGCTTAACTCTTCTGAGCTGCATAGCTAAGCAGCTCCAACAGTTTGTTCACTACAGAGACCAAGGCACGCACAGATCTCCACAGATTCAGTGTTTTCCTTTTAAATAGTCCCTAGCGATAGTTTAGCTTACCATCTTAACATTCTTTTTCTTGAGTACTAGGGACCAAGCTGGATCCCAAAGTCAGGGATACCAAGAAGGGGCAGACAGAAGCGAGGCAGGACACTTACTGGGCGGCTAGAAGCACGTTCTTCCGCGCTAACATCTCATTCCGTCCTCCTAAGTGCGGTCGAGTCAAGTACTCAGCTACAGGTTTACTAGGAAACTCGGTTTCACAGACGTAAGCAAAGTCCCGCGCCAAATGGACAGCTTCACCTAGAACCAGCAATGGCAAAGGCGTTAGGATGGCCGTGGCCCCTCTCTCTGCAATGAGTAGTTCCCACTCAAATTGCCGGGGTGGTGTGCCATCGTCTGTGCTGAGGAGGAACCTAGTAGATGGCACTTAAACACCCAGTAGCTTGAAATTAAACAGTCCACTTAATTGGTGGAGTTTCCAACAGGTCCTCTACTCCAAGAATACAGATGGAGATTACGATCAATACTCAGACAATTCCCAGAGGCGCACGGTTCGAATCCACCAGATGCTCTGCTGGGGAAGGAGGGACAATCTCCTCCTGTACCAGTCAGATCTGATTTGACGGTACACTCACACAAAAATAATAAAATAAAAATTAAAAAAAAAATTACTGACAATGTCAAATGAAACACCCCCAGAACTGTGATCTCTAGTTGAGCAATTCTAACCACTTCTCAGGAAGAGAAGAACCCCCGCCAAATCCAGCCTTCCTCAAAAACAACTTATCTTTACAAGAAAACATGCACTTTCAGATGAGCTTGTTTTGACAAAAGCAAACTGGTCACTTTACTTTTTAAAAAGCCAAGTTAACAGTGCTAGTGTTGCTTTGTTTGGGGTTTGTTTTTTGTTGTTGGGGTTTTGTGAGTTTTTTTTTTTTTTTTTCGTTTGTTTTTTGGAAGACTTCCAGGTGCTTTATACTCAAGAATAGGCACCTTGCAGGTACAACAGATTACACAAAAAGTTAGTGGTTCAAATGCACAAGCCGTTCAGAGAGACACAGCAGTCCATTTCTGTAAAAAGACACAGCCTTGGCAGCCCTAGGAAGCACCCTTCCTCTGCCTACAGCGACTGCCAGCAACAACCACTATCGAAAAGGCCCGGCAGTTCGAATCCACCAGTCATTCCTCAGGAAAAAGACGGATGGTCTCCTCCTCCTACAAGGTTTTATGTCCCTGGAAACCCGTGGAGAGGTCCGTCACACGGGGTCAGAACTGACCTGACAGCTGTGGCTTCCTGGATTTACAGGACTGAGATTTTTGATCACAGGAAGAGAGGGAGCCCCAGGGACCAACCTCACCAGGACTGGTAGCGCAAGGGGTGGGGGGTGGGGGGATGTCCTCAAGTTGGGGAAAAGTCACCAGGCCTCCACCTACAAGTCTGGTGGCTCTTTCCAACCACCCAGATGGCAGCCCTGACACCTCAAGCCTGAGGGCCATTGTCCCTCACACTCTCATTCAAGCTCTCTGAGCCACATTCAGCCAGCTCCCCGTCCCCCGCCCACCACCACCCTCCATACTACACAGCTGTGCAGACTGCGCCCTTCTCCTTGTCCTGACCTCCAAAGATGCTCATCAAAAGGTAAGCAGGGCACCAACAGGCCAGAAATGTGTGCGAAGAGATGGCCTGGCTACCCAGGGCTGCTGCTCATGGGTTCTTCAGGCCAGCGCAAGAGTCCTGGACAGCGGATGCCCAGAGCCAACGCCCTGAGCTCAAGGTCTGGGAGCCCCTGCTGCTGAATCTGTTTCCTCTGTGCAAGAACACTGGACCCCAGCTTTTTCTTCCAAAGCTGTGTCACCAGTACCTACCAAGTTGCAGAATGGGGTTGGGGGGACTGGTATGTGTGTCTCCATCCCAGAAACCTCCTACAATCCTACATTCTAAAGTTCAGGGCCGAAGGAACCAGGCTATGGGCCAGCAAGCCCAAGATGCTGGTGGTCTTTAATGGGGGAGGGGGAAAGCAGAAAACTGTGGGTCAACCAGTCTCACCACGTACAAGAGCAGGTTCTGCTCCTAACTAACCATCACAGGGAAGGCCAGGGGAGAAGGATGGGCAGTCTCCTCTCCAGCACCCTGGACGTGCAACCTGTAAGCACTCAGCCCCTGATTTAAAATTACGCCAGAGAAACACCAGGTTACCTGCTCCCATCAGGAAAGATGGCAGCCTCGTTAATCCTCGAGAGGGTTTGCTCAGTCCCCTGAAGTTGCCATGGCCCACCTACCGCCACCACTCAATAGAAAATGACTTTTCAGGGAGCTCTGGTGGCCTAGTAGCAAGAAGCTGCACTGCAGTCCCAGAGGCACGCAGTTCAAATCCACCAGATGCTCTGCTGGAGGAGGGACAATCTCCTCCTGTACCAGTCAGATTCAATTTGACAATAAACACACACACACACAAAAAAAAAATTTAAAAAAAGAAAATTGTTGATCCACCTGAGAAATTTCAACGTTGTGGGACTCACTACAGTAAATTTATGCCCATCCAGATTGCTTTCAATTTAGTTGGGTTGTTTGTGTTTTGGTTTTTTTTTTGTTTTGGGTTTGGATTTTTTTTTAATTAGGACAATAAAACTGATTAACTATGAAAACAAAAACCAACTTCACTGACCTTCTACGAGGGATGTTAGGAGAGTCACATGAGCAGCTTTACGACGGCCCGCAGGAAGGTTCAGCCCGATCTTGTCCAGTTTCTCCCGCAGCGATCGGCCCCCATTCTTCGACTTGGCTCTGAGAGAAAGAGAGTGGACCATGGACCGTGGCTACTCAAACTACACTTGGAAGCTAAACTCCCAAAGCGCAGCTGCCGGAAAGAAAGAGCATCAGCTTGACACGGGCCAGCTGAGTGCTTGCTCCTCGTTCTGTGAAGCCAAGTCTTTTTAAGAAAAATAAACTTTCCTACACTCACTATTCCTTAAATTCACAGAGCATTGCAAGTCATACCGGAATAAAGAGTAGATCAATTTGCACTTGTAAAAACTGCAACAGCCCACCCTCACCTCTCTCTGGGGAAAAAAAAAAACCACCTCCAAACAACCCAAACCAAAGCTGCATTGGGGGTGGGGAGAAGTTTACCAAACTCCCCCTTCTCTTAATACAGATGCTGCCACTGCTTACTTGGCTGCAAACCACCCAGATGATAATTTGCTAGCTCTGTGTTAACACTTCTCTCTACATCTGGCACTTTCTAAAGGAGAAGAAACCGCCCAGCAAGCGGGCTCTCTGAGCCCATTAGAATGCAGTGTTAGGGTATACAGTTACATAAATGTTAAAAATACCTCCCGGGCTACTTCTCCATTCAACTCACCTCCAGCCACCCAACCACCCAGGCCCCCATAAAATGTACCTCCTGAGAACACCCCCCAGTAAGGAGGCGTTTAAACATTCCGGAGGCGAGAGGCGTCGTTGGACTTCAGCCACCGTCACTTTGTATTTCGAAGTGGAGCTGAGTAGGGACAGCCTTCCCGGGACAGAGCAGAAGACTTCACTGGGGTTCATCAGGGCCCCCCCCAGCTCCTTCGGGCAGGGGAGACTCAGGGGGTTCTTGGTCATGGAAATAGGACCTGGCAGAGAAGGCAGAAGAGGCAGTCAGATCTTGTCCAAGAAGAAAAAAAAGAGTATGTTTAAAAACCACCAACGTGGCCTGAAAGAGGGCTTTAAATAAGCCATGGTGCATTGCAAATTACAAGCAGATTTTTTTTTTTTAAGCTGTAGCCTTCAAAGATAATCTAATCTGAAATTCGCAATTTAACACCTTGGGAAGTTAATTAATCAAAATCCCTAGCAGGGAGGGTTTTTATCTTCCACTGTGAAAGGCTGCTTAATTAGAAGGCGCCTGAGAAAGCGGCTTCGGCTTCGATTCCAAAGAAGCGGTGGGGTATTTTTTTCCCCTCCCCTCCTCACACAATGAACAACCAAAATCATCCCGCACTTTCAGATCCCTTGCCAAAACCTTTAAACTTTTCAATACAACTGCTCACAGCAAATTTAAAGATACATGCAAACGTGTTTTCTTATACATTTACTGCAAAAACTAGTTTTATTTTGTCAGGGGTGGTGTGTTGGGTTCACCCCAAAACTGATAAAACCATCTTTCCCCAAATCAATGCAAAATAACAGACCATGTCTATCTGTTCTTTTGCGCTTGTCCAGAATAGCCCGCCTGCTAATCCACCAGCACCTGACTTCATTTCACAAACTACTCACATACTGAGTAATCCAGTTTTCTAAACCCTTTCACTTGATCCGGTCTAAACCTGGTCTCTCCCAGATTAGACCTCACCCTATCTCTCAGGCAAGCCTGTTTGCTCTGAGAAATTCTTTGAAAAACTTTTCTTGCAGCTCAGAATCCTGGACTCTTCCCGCAACATCGCATCGTCAGGTCCTTCAGCCCTCACTGCCCCCTCAGAGCAAGCCCATTAAAGACTGCCCTCACTCAATTAGCATTATTAGCTCACTCTTGAAAACCTCTAAGATTGCACAGCTGCCTCTGTAGAAGCGAAGATAAAACCTGGTCCAACAAACACGAAGGAAAACATTCTCCACGACGCCACCGAGAAACACATTCTCCTGCGTCCCCCCACATCCCCTGTGGGGGCTTTTCTCAATGCCCTTCCAGACTGCCTTCCCTGTGCCCCTCAAGCGTCGCTTTCCTCACAAACATTCTAAGCCCACCACCAAGGGCTTCTCTTTATTATCAACTCCTTTATCAGTTAAGACCAGAACCTACCTTTGCGGATGACAGTCTGATCATGCAAGGCCAAGTGCTGATCCTCAACGTTCTGGGGAGAAAGCACAAAGTTTCTGTTAAGTTTGGGGAGTTGGGCCAGGCCAGGATAGAGATGGGGAGGGGAGCGGGGCGGCGAGGCCGGAGACCCTCACCTGCACTTCCTCCATCGGATGTGTCATGTCGTGGAGTCCCAAGTTCTCGGCCAGGCCTGCAGTGTCCAGCGGGTGTGCATGAGGCAGCAACAGGTCTGAGCGGCGGTAGGCCTCCCTGCGGGCGCCCACGGCACCTCCCTCCAAGCCCGTGAGGTGCGGCGGCAGCAGGCCGGTCGGGCGCCCGTGGTGTGAGGGCAGCCCGGTGCCCTCCTGGCCCTGGCGGCCCGGCCAGGCCTGCTGCTGGCTGCCCGTGGGCGCCGGCTGGTGCAGTGGATTGATGGCAGCGGCGTAGGCTTCTCCTAGGTGCGAGTAGGGGTCGGCCGACTGTGAGTAAGCGAGTTGCTGGTAGGGAGGAGGGAAGTAGGGGGGCGGCTGGTATTCCCCGACCCCCGCGTGGGAGAGGGGCGGCGCGGAGCTGTAGAGGTGCTGTCCCGCGGAGGAGAGGTGCGGGAGGCGCGGGTTCCCATTGCTGCTCGCGTCATGGCGGTCCTGGGGCGGAAAGAGAGGTGACCCGGTTAGTGTGCACTAACCCCGGCTCGTGCGAAGTCGCCGCTGCACACAGCCAGGGCCTCCCGGGCTGGCGCCCCGGGGAGCTCATGGGAACCTCGGTCTGCAGCCAAAGGGAGGGTTGCTTAGACCTGTACCAAGGCGTCCTCAGTCAAGCCCGGGAGCGAAAGTCCTGGAGCTCCGGTGCCCGGCAGGGACTGTCCGGGCGCACCGGTGACAGAAGCGTCCTCACCCCAGAGAACAAGCGAATGCGCCCCAGGGTCTTCCCCAGAGCGCGCAAGAGGTGCGCCCTCATTCTCCAGCCCGCACATGGATGCGGGGGCAAGCGAGGCAGGGGAAGAGGTGGTCGCGCATAATATATGCGCTCTCCTGGGCCCCCGAGGCCTTCCCTTTCACGCTCCCAGGACCGAGACCTCAAAGATCTTCTGAAGGCTGACACGCCCTGGCACAGTCGTCCACCCAGCGCCACCCACGCGTCTTGGGACCGCGCCGTGGAGAGAGATGCCCTCCCCAGCTGGCCGGACACCGGCCAAATGGAGATCTGGGTTAAGACCACCATGGTCCCTGGATCGGGGCGCAAAGGAGAGGGAAAGACCTCCAACCCCCTGAGCCATGCCTGAGCACGTCCCGTCGCCTCACGGCCTGTCTAGCTTAGTCCTAAAGGACGTGTGTCCATCTGACCTCGGGGTCACAGGGCTGGTAAGGACCCAGGAGGAGCATGGCACCGTCGCCCCCTGGCGGAAGTGCCTGCGCCTGCGAGCCGCGCAGCCCCTCGAGGCCCCGGACAGCGTGCGCTCCCGCGGCGGCCGGTTCCCTCTGCGCCCGGCCTTGCCGCGCGCCGCCTGCGTCGTCTTCCTCTTCCCGCTCGCCGCTCCCTCCCTCCCACTCTCCGAAACTCTAGCTCAACCTGTCCGACTGGCTGGAGCACTCGCGCGCGCACGGCCCCATCTGGCCTCGGTCCCCCCAGCGCTTCCCAGCCCCCACTACTCTTCAAAGCCAAACTTCTGTTGTTTTCTGGTTTCTCCGAGGAGCGAGAGGGGCGAGTGACGAGCCAGCCTGAGAAGGAGACTCCGCAAAGGTGTCGCCCTCAGGATCTCCTCCTCTGACCCCTCAGGTCACCTTGTCTGACCCCTCGGGTTAGAGATTTCGTGCGTAAAAGCCACGTCTGAGGGCTAGCGACCGGACACTCTTCCGAGAAAACGGGGTTTTTGTTTCCTAAGAAAGCCACTGTAACTTTGCGAGTGGGACCTCCTCCATTCCCCTTCGGCTCATTCCCAAAGACTGGCTATTTAGCAAGAAAGGACTCTGGAGGAGTGTCCGGTGGAGTGGACCCTGTTCCATCGAGAGGTGGCGGTGGGCGCCTCTACGCTGCCCCTGCGCCCAGGCCCGGGCCTCGGTGCAATGGCCTGCCGCCAGCTGTGCCAGGACCGAGCTGCGACCCGGCTCACCTCGCAGTCCTCTTCATACTTGACATTATCGGTTATTTTCCACAACATGGCGTCAGGCGTCCCCCAGAACAGTCGCCAGTTAAATCCAGGTTCCCCCCACCCCCCAAGCGGTAAATCCAAAATCGGGGTCACGGTGGCCTGGCGTCAGCCGCCGCCCCCACTGCGCGCGGGCCTCCCAGTCCAGGTCAATGAGCGCGCATCGGCGTCCCCGCCGGCTAGATGCCGCCGCCGCGAAAAGCTCGCTGCCGCGGACCGCCAGGCCGCCCGTGCTGTCTGTCCAGGCGATCGCCGGGGGACCCGGGCGCCTTAATGAGAAGGAAATTATCATAACTCCTCCCCGGGGGCCGGCAGAGGCCCGGGCGCCGGGCGGGGCGGCACCATCCAGAGGCGGCTGGCTCCGCCCCGCACCCAAGGCTGGCGCCAGGCCGAGCCTCACGCTGCGGGAGGCTGGGGGCGCTGGGAAGCCGCCCAGCCTAGCACCCCGACCGCGAGGCCACCGCTGGACCGCCTTCTCCCCCCTCACCTTGCATATACCCGAGACAGGCAGTCGGGGACCCCGAGCCAAGAACCTGCGAGCCCCCTTTCACCTTGAGGGCCTTCTCACGTCCTCTCAAAGTGACATGCGATCTGGGGTTAGAGACCCCGCCTTCGGGGAAGGGGGCGTCTCAGGAACTGGGGTGTCTTAGCTCCCACAAGTCCCACCTCCATCAGCGCCACTGAGACTGAGGCTGAACTAGGCATCTGACAGCCCCCACCCATCCGGAGGCACCTCGCGCAGTCCTCGGCACCGGAGAGAAGTGGGGGCTTAGGCCCAAGTGCCACAGTCCAGTCCCATAGTCGAGGTACAGCGGCATGGTCCGCGGCTGCTCCCCTCCCCGTGTCCCCAGAGGCAGGCTTCAGCGCCAGTCATGGGGGGAGAGCCCTGCGCGCCCTCTCCTGTTGGCAGGCACTGGAGGCTTCACTCCTTCAAGTAAAGAGATGTGATGTGCGTAACCCGCCAGTGTTGCAGCCCAGAGGGGCTGGAAAGAAAGGCCAAACAGTCCCCCTCTCCGCCATTGAGGTGGGCACCCCATTTCTAAAGGAGGAAGAAAACAACACTTCCTCTTCCATAAATGCGGTCTGCCCAGTATGTGACTGCTCTGGGACTACCAAAAAAAGAGTGCAAAATTGACTTTAAAAATTAAACGAAATCCATTGACCCAAGCATAACTGACGTTTTCATTGCGAGGCGAAAGGCGCCCTGGGCGGATTCTCCGGGACAGATTCTTTTAGGTCATTCCAAGTGGTCCCCGAAACTGGATTTCAACCATTTTAGGGGAGCACAGGGAAGAACGATTTCGATTTTATTCCGAATCCAGTATTGCAATCATCGATTCCTATCACTACAGAACGTCAACGTCCGCTGCTGCTCTTGACGTTACTGGTCGGACTTAGACCCAAAGTGGCCTCAAGTAAAATAATTAAAATAAAAACAGGCGGCCTCCAGGCGCTGCGTCCGCCCGGGTCTCAGAACAGCCAGATCCATTCTGACCAGGGACAGGCTGGCCACATGGCTGAGCAAACCCTGAAAGTAAGTCTTCTGGAGACTTTTGGGGCCAAGCACTTGCGGGATTTTGCATCAAAATGCACGTAGGCTCGCACACCCCCACGACCCCAGACATCTAGTTTCCAATCCGAGGCCTAGAGGCAAAAAGGAGACAACCGCAGGTGCCTCGCTCCGGCCGTGGGTTGGGGGCTGGCTCCTACGCGGTGGGGGGGGAGGGGGGCAGCTGCACGATGAGGAGACCAGCCGCTTGTGGAAGTCCTCCGAGAAAGGCAGGGAGGCCTGCTTCGGGAGCCTCCTTTCCACGCTGGGCCCTGTGCGCCACGGGTTGGGCGCCAAGACTCAGTCAGGGGTGCGGCCGGAAAGCCGTGGCCCGTCCGGTGCTCGGCACTTTCCCAGGCAGGAGGGTGTCACCTCCACCCCAAGCCTTGGCTGTCCTCTGGTGTTTCCTACAGCAGCGCTCGCCAGAGCCACCCGAAGGGATGGAGATCCTCCCCGCCTGGGGGTGTCCATGGCGGAAGGGAACCCTTGGGCCCCGAGGGTTGGCGCGGCTTGGCTCGGGGAGGCCTAGGAGTCGAGTGGCTTCGGAATCGCTGGGCAGATGCCATTCCTTCCCGAGGCAGCAAGCTCAACCAGGGCGCTGCCCCTTCTGCACCAGCCGCGCGCCAGGGGCGGGAGCCCTCGGGGGGGGGAGGGGGGGACCCGCGCGCGGACCGGCACCGACAAGCTGGAGCGCTGCTCAGCGGACCGGCACGCAGCCACGCGCGCCCCGCTCGGGGTTCCAGACGCTTCTGCTCTGTTTGGAGCTTAACTTTCCTTCTCGTTTAAAGGAGCGCAGGGCTCCCATGCCGTCCGCCGACCCCCTAGAGCCCCCGCCCCTCGCCCGCCGGAAGACGACGCGGGGCTGCGTGGCCTTAGGCAGCCGCGCCCTTAGACAGCCGGCGCCGGGAACGGGTGCCCCCTCCGGACTCGAGAGGCCTCGCAGCGCCCCGCTGACTGCAAACAGGACGAGGGGTCTCCGCGCGCCTGACTCCACGGCTCCGGGAGCGCGAGAGCGCAGCCGGCCGGGAGCTTCCCTCTGCCGCCCCCTACGGGTCCTGGCTGCGCGCGCCGGCCCGCGACTCGCCCCGTCCGCGCCCGCGCCTCGGGCTGCCACCAGACAGCAGCGCCCCGACTGTGCGACACCTCCAAGAGGGAGGAGGTCGGGTACCTCGGCAAACACAACCTGTTGCCCCAGGCGGCGTCCGCCACCGCTTCCACCCCCACCCCAGGCCGGGAAGGCGGCCCAACGGGTAGAGCGGGATTGGGCCAAGCGCGTGGCACCTCTGGAGCCCCAGGGAGGGGCATCGAGCGGCAGGTGGAGGCCCCAGGGCTCTCGCAGAGGCCAAGCCGGCTGAAGGTGCAGACCCGAAGCGCCGAACCCTCGATGGGGCGGGCTGCGGCCGACAGCCTTGCGACGGGAGCGCCTGATACATTCACGGGCCTCACCCTTCACCCACGTCCTTCCAGCGCGCCCTGAACCCACTGTCACCCACTGGTGTAAAAGAAAAAATCCCAGGGAAGACTGAAAACGGATCGAGGCTCACGTCCTGGGGCCCCAAGCCTCCATCTACAGCCTGCCGACAACAACAAAAATGTAAATCTTTTAAAGGTGTACGAAGCCTTCTCATGACCAAGCGAGAATTCAGCTCCGACCCCAGTCGTTATAAGCTTCACCACGCCGCGTTCTGCCCTGTGCCCTACAGTGCGCCGGAAGGGGCTTTGCGACCTCGACCTCTGGTTCTAACCGGCAAATAATCTGATTTTTAAAACAAAACAAAACAAAAAAAAAAAAACCAAAAAACGGCAAAGAGAGACCGAGAGGAGGCCTGTGAGTCTATAGGTTTCCCCGGAGAGACCCGGTGTCGATCCCACCTTAAGTCCTTCCTGTCCTGGCGCCTCTGTGCAGAGGGCTCCCCAAGCGCAGATGCCCAGATTTGTCTCAGAAGCGGCACCAGCCAGCCCCATCCCAACAACGCTCAGCGACAGTCTCCTGGCACTCCAATGCCACCATCCTAGCTGCCTCGGAACCCCTTAGAGATATACCTGGCTACCCCTCCCTGCCCCGGAGACAGACGCCAGCAAAAAGCCTGTCACCTCTCCACCCACATCTCTGGGCCCATAGCTCGGGGCCTAACCGCTCGGAGCGCAGGCGGAGTCCCCCAACCTTTCTCCCACCAAGTCCTCTAAAACCACGCACCCCCAGGCCAGCCCAGCCAGGCAGGCTTATCTATCAGGTCGCCGCCAGGCGAGGAGGAGGACCCGCAGCTGCCAGATGCTAGGGGACTCTCTGGAGCCCTAATGAGAGGAGGCCGCATTGCCCAGAAGCTCCCCAGCGCCCGCACCAACACCCTTCGGGCGCCGCCTTACCTCCCTGCAGGCCATCGGGATCGTATCGGACCTCCACCCCAGAGACTCTCTCTTCACCCTTGGGTGTTGGAAGTTCATGCTGCTGCTTCTTAAGAGCCTCGCGTCCGGCCTCGGATGAGCGGGAGCCGGGTCGGAACTGCGCGGAGCTGCAGGAAACTTCGCCCGCGTGCGGCGCGGCCCTCGGGCGACTGCTCTGAGGGCTTATTTGATTAGGTGCGGCGGGGGAGGGGCGATTACTAAACCTCCACCACCTATCGCGATTGGAAGACACACCTGAGAGGCCTGGCTGCTCTCTCTCCTCCCCTTCGGCCGCCCAGGGGGGAAGGCTCGCCTCCTTTCGCGGTGCGCGCAGAGGCCCCGGCGCCCTCGGGCCCGGCCTTCGCAGAACTGTTTGACACGTAACCTACATCTTCCTGAGGAAGGACATTTTTACTTACTTAGTCTCCCAAATCAGATTTCTGGACACTTCCGGGAATATTCGCAATCGTCCTCCCTGCGCTCTGAACGCTCGAGCCTGCGCTCTCCGGGCCCAGGGAAATTTGAACCGGTGGCTACAAATCTCTGGGGAGGTGGCAAGGGGGCTGCAGAGACGGGGCTGCGCTGAGGGCCCTGGAGATTTGTACCCGGGCAAGTCACGCGAATTTTAACTTCAGGCTAAGGTGTCAAACAAGCGAGTTAAAATAGTTATCTCCGCAATGTATCTAATATGTAATACGTATAATCTTGTTGTGCTCCATCGAGTTGGGATTAACCCGCTGGCCCTCCGGCGAGGTTTAAAAGGCAATTAATCGCATGGGAAGAGATATGCCCAACCTCCCGGGGAGCAGCTGGTGGATTCAATCTCGTGCCTTGGAGACTGCATCGAGTTTCTTACCACTAGGCCACCAGGGCTCCCACAAAATAATTATATATATTATAAAAATCAAATATCTATATTTATATCTCTCTATATCTCGTACAGGGAGCTCTGGTGGCTTAGTGATAAGGAATTGTGCTGAAAATGTAATGTGCTTCAAATCCACCAGTTGCCCCACTGGAGAAAGATGGGCAATCTCCTTACTTGAGATTTACTGCTTCTGAAGAGAGTCTGGATGGT